CCTGTTGTACCAATCAACCTAAATAAAAATATGTTTGCATGTAAGTGTCATACTTAGCATTACATGTTTGTTTTTTCCTCTAACATATCGTCTAGGTTCGCAGCAATCGAACTCTTAAATCTTCAGATTGGGTAGGGAAAGAATGCCTCTCAATGACTACCAGCCTGTTATGAGATTGGAGAATCAAATGGCGCTTATGTAAGGCAAGGTGGTTTCAATTTAAAGTAGTGAAGTCTTGAGTTGGAAAAAATCAAAATTAGAACTCTTTGTCCCAAAATAGTAGATGAATTATTAGAAAACTTCATTAATGTCGAGCACCAAGTAGTGTTTATAGTTGTGTTGTTGAATTAATTTGGGTGGTCACGGATTTTTCTTTTGTCCGGTGGACAGGATACAATGCAAACACGTTCCACCTGAAGACATTCGACCTAAACGTATGATGCTAGGAAACATCCTATAGTTATGCCTTCACAGCAACATCACTTTAGTAAGCCCCTTTTTTTGGATTCATATAGGTTATTTTAGTGTTGTCCTGTATCAGAAAATTTATTCAAAGGCAGCCAAAAGAAAGCTCCAACTACTTTTTTGCAGTTTATTTCTTGAGTTTAGAATATGACCAAGATTCTTATTCTTATCAAGACTTCTTTGTTGTTCTTGATATAATCAAGTCAAAAGAGTCCTACTAATCTTTTGAATTGTGGTAAATATAACTTGTATAAGTTTGTTTCATGTGTTCAAATATGGGTAACTGAGATAAAAAATCAAATTCTCTAATATTTATACTTTGTGGCTTGAAGCTAGTGCTACTATCTTAAAAAACTGAAAGTCGTAAAGAAATGAAAAGATAAGACCTTATTGTCAAGTGGTGCTGGTGCTTTTTACTACTATGGTTTCTTTCATTCTAATTCTACTCTATTTTTTCCGGTCATTTGGATGACTATTTGATGAATTGAGTAGTCATTTCTTAGGGACTCCCATGGAATGTGGAATAAATTTTTGTTGAAAACTAATACTATACAAGTTGTGCCATGAATTGTTATTTGAATATGACTTTTAAAAAATTGGCTAAACTTTAAATAATACATGTAAAAGCGGTTACTTGTGCAAATTCTACAAATTCAAACTAATAGGCCCACAATCCCTTCTTGGGTGGGCAATAGACAAAGCACCCAAATTCCAATATCCAACCCAATTCAGATTACAACGCGATTACAACCCGATTTAGCCTGACCAGGGAACTTCAGACAAAATTAGTGTTGTTGTTGCTTTTGTTCTTCCTCTTCTTGTAGACACTAGACGGTGATGCCCGTGCCAGCACGGGCCCGATATGACAAGAGCATTAAAGGCAGAGTTTGTCATTCAGTTACCAAATGTGAATGAAGCTGGTTGAACATTACGTTTATAGTGGGGCAGTAGTCTGTAAATAATTATTGATTGTCAATGAGGGGCAGCTCAACAGAACTGATGGCCTAAACCAAAATATATTAAAAAGACTCTGAAACGTCTTTTATAAAATTCATATAATATTGAGATACAAAAAAAAACCTTCATGACTTTTGATATAGTGGTGAGAGCACAAATCATGATGTATGAGTTAGGCGCGCGTCATATGGTATTGAATTCTTCCCTTAAGTGAAAATGGTAAAGGGTTAGCCCATTATTCATCATATTTTGAACCTTGCGACATTTGCCTCGGGGATTTCTTAGTTAAAAAAGATGAGACACAAAAGAACTTGCTTTCTGGTGTGTGGATCAATCAAATGTGACAAAAAAATTAGTTAATTTAGAGAATTGGAATTGAAATTAGAAAGTAAAATCGTAAAAAGCATAAAAAAGACTATACATAAATAAAGAAAAATAAAATTGATGAGAAGGTAGATATATATTACGTCTACCAAATGTTAAAAATCATTAAAATTTGAAATCATTATTAATAATTATATAAATATAAATTATGAAGTATATATTATATAATAATATAATACCAGTTTTTATTTTTGGGGCCTTAATTATTTGGGGGCCTAACCCTTGCCTTACCCTAGAGCCGCCCTTGCTCCCTCGGCTGCGAACTTGCTCCGGCGCTTTAAGTTCCCACGCTGTAATCCCTTTTTCAATAGAATTGTTTTATACTTCAAATTGTATATTGTATTCGCAATTATTATTAATCTGCCCCGTCCAAGTAGTCCCCTCAGCTCTATTAGTCCCGCCTTATTTAGCTGTTAAACGACGTTTTTACTACTAATTAAGTTGTTAATGACCGTTAATAATAGCATATAACTGTTAACAAGTTCTATTGGTGTATGATGTGAAGTTGTATAACATGTAACTGTTCGAATCATCCCTGATGTGTAGTATGAGTTCAAAAAGAGTTGTTTTATATCTCAAAACATTTCCATGCCATAATTCATCCAATTTGAGAAGGGGAGCCTTGGCGTAGCTGGTAAAGTTGTTGCCATGTGACCAGGAGGTCACGGGTTTGAGCCGTGGAAACATCCTCTTGCAGAAATGTAGGGTAAGGTTGCGTACAATATACCCTTGTGGTTTGGCCCTTCCACGGACCCTAAGTTTACGAAGGCGACTCGCAAATAATGTCATAAGTAAAAACTTTAAATTAAGACAGACATGAGATGGTGCTATTTCTATAGAACTTCTGATGCTTGTGCCCCAATTCTAACGGAAGAAGTAAATCTTTTCTATGCACTTTTATCGGCTACTAATAAGATAATTTCTTTAGCTTATTAGAAAGTTCAAACCAAGATCACATGTTAAGTTTCAACCTCAAAGGTCTTCTCACATGCTCCATATGAGAATAATAGGCTACTTAATTAACTGATTCATACCATTTGTTGCAGTATCTCAGTTCTTAATTAAACCTAATATACTACTATCTGAGTTCATTCACTGCTGCTGCTAACACCAAAAACTGTCATTCCACTCGTATGAGAGAACATAAAGAATCTTTTGGAAAGACCATGCAATATGATATGCGACAGCAGGCAATATTTGAATAATTTATTATTTTTCCTTATGTCAGCCTTTTTATATAGATGGATTTGATTTCTGGAACCTTGACTTGATATCTCCTTTTCTAACATAAATGAGTAATCTAGCAAAGATTGATATGGGTATTCATTAAAATATGGCTGATAGTTTAGAAGCTCGATTCAGCTGTTTCACTAACAATGGCGAGCCATAACAAAGCTTAAGTTGTTAAAAGTTAACTACATCAAAGAGACAAATCCTAACACCAAGGAGGGCATAAAAGTTCTCACTCTTACCAAAACTAAAGATATCATACTAAGCAAGACGTCGACTTTTATGTTTCTTCCACTAATAAGCAAAATCGAGCAAATGGTATCAAAAGCATTAAAGTAACAAGTTAGTCAAAAAGTTTACCTTCTGATCAGAAGACTACTGAATAACACAATCACAAGAACTGCAATAACAAGAGAATAAATTGAGGGCAAAATAGTATCAGCAATAGATAATTCCAACTAAAATAAAGGGTCAGAGTTAACAACCAGTTTGATCACACCGTCTCTAATGCTTACAGAAAAATAAGGCGACTCGCAAATAATGTCATAAGTAAAAACTTTAAATTAAGAACTTTTGACAAAATACAGTTTTGCCACTATCGTTATAATAAATAAAATTCAGTGATCATATTCACGTGCTGTGTCACTGTTTTACTTTCAATAAACTTACACCTAGCAATAAACGATTATTATTGAACAAAAAAGAAATAACATAGCTGCAATTTCTGATTTCTGTTAATGAAAACAAAAAAAGCGAAAAAATAAGTATAGTTAATGGGTTATCCCATCTTATCTTGCTAAAGGCGGTGAGAAAAGAAAAATAGCACAAAACCAAACGTACAACAGAAGTCGAAAACACAAAGAGCGAAATCGCCAATACCTATACATATCTCTCAAGCAACAAATCCCAAAATCAAATAGCAAATGTAGAAATCATTAAATGAACAAATCAAATAAAAGCTAATGATTAGAGAAACAAAGAAGCTAAGCATAAAAAGCAGAAGCATAACAACAATCGAGCAAAACGGCTTTAGATCAAACTTGAATTTGAACTTAAAAAAAGGATTATAACCTGAATTTTATTTGTTGTTTCTTGACGCTACACTTTGACTATGGTGGGTTATGGTGGATTATTGTTAAACACTGCTCTTCAGTGCCACCATGCCGACAGGAATAAAGCAAGTGAAGAAACAGAATTTGTTTTCTTGATTTCAATTCATCTCCGGAAAAAAAAGTCCCAATTTCATCCATCAAACCCTAACTCGAAAATTTGTAATTAATTCACTCTGTTCTAACGAATTTGAAACAAAAAAGAAGGAGAAAGAGATAGAAAACAATAAAATTCATATTAAGTAATTAGAAAAGCACCTGCACAAGTTGAAGAGATGAGGAAGACGAAGATATCTGAAGCTCTGTAAATTGTGATGTACATAAATCGAATGAAACTCACACTCTGTAATGACGTAAACGCTACACGTCGTACTTGGGTAGATATAGAAAAGCGTATACAGATAAGCTCGATTGTTGTTATGCTTCTGCTTTTTATGCTTAGCTTCTTTGTTTCTCTAATCATTAGCTTTTACTTGATTTGTTCATTTAATGATTTCTCCATTTGCTATTTGATTTTGGGATTTGTTGCTTGAGAGATATGTATAGGTATTGGCGATTTCGTTCTTTGCGTTTTCGACTTGGGTGGATTACGAAGGTTTGTTGATTAGGATATCTAAATTATATATAGTTTATCAAACAAAGTTGATGTGTAACGACTGCGGGAAGGAAACTTCATAGCATATGGAGAGTACTTTGTCAGACAAATGAATGGTTCACAGTTCTCATCTTTCAGATAACAGTATAAAATAAAATGAAATACTATATTTTAAGTGATATTCTTATATTTATCATAATAGCTTTCGGAATCTGATTCCAAAAGTTGAAGTAGGTCCGTAATTTTGAATATGACTTATGTGCAAAATTTGAGGTCATTCAGGCGTGGTTTGATAGGTTTCGGCATCGGTTATGGAAATTTGCAGCTTCGACATGCTTGCTTATGGGTAATTTAAGTTTTGTTTGAGGGCATATTAGACTTTTGAGCTTATCTGTATACGTGCCTTTTCCATATTTACCCAACTACTACGTGTAGCGTTTACGTTATTACAGAGGTGGGTTTTATTGGATTTGCGTACATCATCAGATATCTTCGTCTTCCTCATCTTTTCAACTTGTGCAGGTGCTTTTCTTATTACTTAATATGAATTTTATTGTTTTCTATCTCTTTCTAGGTGCTGCTGAAAATTTAAGGAGTTTGAGGAGTTTAAGATTATAAATAGGTCATTTCACATGACCTCTATACGTGCCCTTTCATGCGATGCGCAGATACTACGTGTAGGTTTTAAGCTATTCCCACATGTACACTTTTCTCATATCAACGCTGACAGCACCCTTGCCTTGATAATCCTAAAGTTTTAAATTCTTCTGTTCCTCTTCTTCAGTTCTCTACCGTTGTTTCTTTCTTGATTTTTCCCCATACCTTTTTGTTCTGCTCATGGTAGTTATACAATATCTGTATACGCTTTTCTATATCTACCCAACTACGACGTGTAGTGTTTACGTCATTACAGAGTGTGGGTTTCATTCGATTTATGTACATCACAATTTACAGAGCTTCAGATATCTTCGTCTTCCTCATCTCTTCAACTTGTGCAGGTGCTTTTCTAATTACTTAATATGAATTTTATTATTTTCTATCTCTTTCTCCTTCTTTTTTGTTTCAAATTCGTTAGAACAGAGTGAATTAATTACAGATTTTCGAGTTAGGGTTTGATGGATGAAATTAGGACTTTTTTTTTTGAGATGAATTGAAATCAAGAAAACAAATTCTGTTTCTTCACTTGCTTTATTCCTGTCGGCATGGTGGCACTGAAGAGCAGTGTTTAACAATAATCCACCATAACCCACCATAGTCAAAGTGTAGCGTCAAGAAACAACAAATAAAATTCAGGTTATAATCCTTTTTTTAAGTTCAAATTCAAGTTTGATCTAAAGCCGTTTTGCTCGATTGTTGTTATGCTTCTGCTTTTTATGCTTAGCTTCTTTGTTTCTCTAATCATTAGCTTTTATTTGATTTGTTCATTTAATGATTTCTCCATTTGCTATTTGATTTTGGGATTTGTTGCTTGAGAGATATATATAGGTATTGGCGATTTCGCTCTCTGTGTTTTCGACTTGGGTGGATTACGAAGGTTTGTTGATTAGGATATCTAAATTATATATAGTTTATCAAACAAAGTTGATGTATAACGACTGCGGGAAGGAAACTTCATAGCATATGGAGAGTACTTTGTCAGACAAATGAATGGTTCACAGTTCTCATCTTTCAGATAACAGTATAAAATAAAATGAAATACTATATTTTAAGTGATATTCTTATATTTATCATAATAGCTTTCGGAATCTGATTCCAAAAGTTGGAGTAGGTCCGTAATTTTGAATATGACTTATGTGCAAAATTTGAGGTCATTCGGACGTGGTTTGATAGGTTTCGGCATCGGTTATGGAAATTTGCAGTTTTGACATGCTTGCTTATGGGTAATTTAAGTTTTGTTTGAGGGCATATTAGACTTTTGAGCTTATCTGTATACGTGCCTTTTCCATATCTACCCAACTACTACGTGTAGCGTTTATGTTATTACAGAGGTGGGTTTTATTGGATTTGCGTACATCATCAGATATCTTCGTCTTCCTCATCTCTTTAACTTGTGCAGGTGCTTTTCTTATTACTTAATATGAATTTTATTGTTTTCTATCTCTTTCTAGGTGCTGCTGAAAATTTAAGGAGTTTGAGGAGTTTAAGATTATAAATAGGTCATTTCACATGACCTCTATACGTGCCCTTTCATGCGATGCGCAGATACTACGTGTAGGTTTTAAGCTATTCCCACATGTACACTTTTCTCATATCAACGCTGACAGCAGCCCTGCCTCGATAATCCTAAAGTTTTAAATTCTTCTGTTCCTCTTCTTCAGTTCTCTACCGCTGTTTCTTTCTTGATTTTTCCCCATACCTTTTTGTTCTGCTCATGGTAGTTGTCTTATCTGTATACGCTTTTCTATATCTACCCAACTACGATGTGTAGCGTTTATGTCATTACAGAGTGTGGGTTTCATTCGATTTATGTACATCACAATTTACAGAGCTTCAGATATCTTCGTCTTCCTCATCTCTTCAACTTGTGCAGGTGCTTTTCTAATTACTTAATATGAATTTTATTGTTTTCTATCTCTTTCTCCTTCTTTTTTGTTTCAAATTCGTTAGAACAGAGTGAATTAATTACAGATTTTCGAGTTAGGGTTTGATGGATGATTGGGACTTTTTTTTCGGAGATGAATTGAAATCAAGAAAACAAATTCTGTTTCTTCACTTGCTTTATTCCTGTCGGCATGGTGGCACTGAAGAGCAGTGTTTAACAATAATCCACCATAACCCATCATAGTCAAAGTGTAGCGTCAAGAAACAACAAATAAAATTCAGGTTATAATCCTTTTTTTAAGTTCAAATTCAAGTTTGATCTAAAGTCGTTTTGCTCGATTGTTGTTATGCTTCTGCTTTTTATGCTTAGCTTCTTTGTTTCTCTAATCATTAGCTTTTATTTGATTTGTTCATTTAATGATTTCTCCATTTGCTATTTGATTTTGGGATTTGTTGCTTGAGAGATATGTATAGGTATTGGCGATTTCGCTCTTTGTGTTTTCGACTTGGGTGGATTATGATGAAATACTATATTCAAAATTACGGACCTACTCCAACTTTCGGAATCAGATTCCGAAAGCTATTATGATAAATATAAGAATACCACTTAAAACATAGTATTTCATTTTATTTTATACTGTTATCTGAAAGATGAGAACTGTGAACCATTCATTTGTCTGACAAAGTACTCTCCATATGCTATGAAGTTTCCTTCCTGCAGTCGTTACGCATCAACTTCGTTTGATAAACTATATATAATTTAGATATCCTAATCAACAAACCTTCGTAATCTACCCATGAACTAGCCCAGCCAACCCCGGCAAATGTAAGTTATTTCAAAAATCATTTACTCTTAAGTTCACTATGCTACTCTTGTTGAACGAAGTGAAAACTACCAACAGTCTGGTATATCATCTACAGTCGCACATGTTCACATTAAAAAAAATCAAAAGCATGGCAATAACAATACATATATAAAGCAGAATATATACTACTAAAGAAGTCAAACAACATATGCATAACAAAATCGTGAGAACATATCCAATTTTCCCATACGGAACTATGGTAAAACCTATCAAAGAAATCGACACAAGAGCAAACTTGAAAAAGCAGAACAAACTATAAAGAGATGAAAATAGAATTCCCATTTAACCAAACACAAAAAGTTCTTAGAATTTACCTAGGAAGTGAGAAGTTCATCTCTTACCTCTCAAATATAAGCCACCAATTATTAATTAGTGAAAATCTTTTATATCTTCAACAAAAGACTTTGCCTAGTCGAATGTTGTGGAAGAGGGTAGAAAAGAAGTATGAACAGAACCCATGAAACTTCAGTAAGCACTGCAAAATTTTCATCCTTTTAATTAGGCATGATACCCATACCAGTATCATGCTTGATCTCAACAAAAAAAAAAATGCATGTCGGATGAAACTAATTGGAAAAGCAGAAAAGGGAGAAACAAATACAAACTACAAAATTGAAGTTGAAGATTAAGGGATTGTTTAATTTATCATATGCACAACAAAAATCATGGGGAAAATTGATTAAAATTGTACATGCAGGTAAAAGGAATTTGAGGAAGATAAAGAGATTTGGAGAAGCAATCCAGAATTTGAAAGTTTTTTTTATGCACAAAGAAATCGGGCGAAAACCTAATATGGTCCGTAGAACACACGTATACTCATTTAAAACTTGGGCTCAATTAAAACTTGCACGTAGCATTTTTTATAGGAAAATAAGCCACGTGTATGATGTTGTAAGAATTAGTACGAAATGATTAATATACCCTCGAGCTTTTTAAAAAAGACTAATCCCTCTAAGATGACAGAGATAGGATAGAATTAAAGAACCAGAAAGTACATAAATCAGATGTTAAAATACTGTTGCAGATCAAAATTCAATAGAAAAAACATACACTAAGTGTAAAAATCAATCCTACCCAATCCTGATTTCTCCTTATTTTCACAGTTATTTTGGGTTTAGCGACTATGATAAGGAAGCTTAAAAGTTCAGGAAGAAATATTAGTATCAATAATTCATACTTCTCATTCCACGAACACAAAAGCCAACAATAAAAAAAGGCCTGACCATCTTTCCCAAATTAAGCTGCCTCAAATCCAAAAGTTACTCCACATTAAGGAAAAAGAAGAAGATAGTGCAGAATTAGTTAAAGAAGAAACATACTTGCAGCAAGAACACAAACAGATCTGGAGAGCAAGAACACAAATAGGAAGAAGACGACGGAAACAAAAGGTGTACTCTCTGAATTGTAAGTACAAAAAAAAATATAGGAAAAAGTTAAGTTGTCAAACAGCTGCAATGATATCAAACACACGTAAAGGTATTGGAAAAAGTGAAGTTGTCAGACAACTATAATGAAATCAAATACACGTAGGGTTTGCGGAAATATTTCAGCGACATGTATATAAGGAGATATCCGAAAAGACTAAAATGCCCTCAAATAAAACTTACTAATGACCTTAAGCAGCCATGTCGAAACTCTTTCTCTTCTAAAGAAAAAGATTAATCAATTCGCACACTACGATTTGTGCTCTTTCGAGATCATTCATATTTGTTTGGCTCGTGGCCGGCACCAAAAGAGGCACAAAGAGTCGATTCATATTTATCACAATTTTACCACCCAAAAATATGAAATAAAGAAAAATATTCGGGTAACTTTAATATCGAACTCAAATTTCTCCAATCTGGACACGCCATAACCCGACAAGCGGAAAGGAAAATTTTAATTGGCCAATTTAAACCTGACATAGCCACTAAACTTCAAAATTAGCCAAAGAATACAAAGGGAAAAAAGATGAAAAAAATGAGAGGAGAAGATATCAGGAACCATTAAATTTCAAAACTAACAATAATGACCTAAAGGGAAGGAAGAACCAAGAAAAAGGAGAAAAAAATAATAACTGCAACTAGACTTGAGAGCAAGAAGAAGACAAACATTTGCAATATAAGTTTTGAAAGAGATTGAATACTCAAAGCTGAGCTCTTGATTTCAATTCATCTCCGCAAAAAAAAACGTTCCCCCAATATCATCCATCAAAACCCTAACTCGAAAATTTCCGGATCTTTTTGAATATAGNATGAATTTGAGGTAAACCTCCATTGTTTAGTATTGTGTGGGTTGAAATAAATTGGAACAAAAAAAGGAGAAACGACAGATAGAAAACAATAAATTGATATTAAAGACTAAGAAATTTACCTGTAAGTTCAAGGGATTTGAGAGAGAAAGTAGAAAATCTGAAAACCACGAAGTAAAATGAAACTTAGATTAAGCACAAAAAGAGATAGAGAGTGAAGTCCACAGTAAATCAGAAAATCAGCAAGGAATACCGAAGAGAAAAGAGGAGTAAAGGCGATAAGAATGAGGACAATATGCGGTGAATGCAGGAGGAAGAGACACATAGACAACTGTATTAATTTGTAGATTGAAATGGCTATAATACCCTCAATTTGAATTTTAATCTCACAAAACAGACATGTCGAAATTGTTGTTCTTCTATATAATAGAAAAAAATGCTCTTTATACCTGCGGCTTGTAGATATAGGCGGATCCAAGATTTGAACTCTATGGGTTCAACTTTTAAAGTTTTTAGCATTGAATCCATTATATATTTAAAATTATGGTTTCATATCTACTATTCTTGCAACTTTAATCAATTTTTACACAGAGATTTTTACTCCGCGTCGAAAGTTATGAGTTCAATTGAACTTGTTCCTAACAAACTACATCCGCCCCTGCATGTACATTTTTTTTTTTTGGATAGCTGCTTTTGACTTTAACTAATGAAAACCTGAGTATTCCAGAAGAATGTGTAATATCATGTAATGTTTTTAAGTCAAAACAACATTGATTTAAAATACAGGAAGATTGAAGAAATAACATCTATGGTTTTTTTTGTGTGGATGAGGACCGATTTTATAACAAAACAACGATATGGAATTTATTTTAGAAAATGCTTTTTCGTTTTCGTGCGTGCAACTAAATGCTTTAAATAGTAAAATAAGCGCCCATTGCATTTTTTCGTAACATTATGGGTGTATTTGGTATGAAGGAAAATATTCTCCTAAAAAATGCTTTCATGGAAAATGAGTGGTTTTATTACTTATTTTTTTTTATTTGGTTGGTGAATGGAAAATATTTTTCGGAAAAAAATTTCTACTGTTTAGTTAGAGAGTAGACAATATTTTTTTAGGAAAATAATTTTTTATACTACTCTCCTCCTCCCCTCCCCTCCCCCAAGTCTCTAAAAATTCACACAAATCCAAAGGAACTAATGTGTTTCTTTACGCAAAAATAACGTTGAAATTTGTGCTCCATAACTAAAAAGAAAAATTATTTTTTTGGTTGAAAAAAAATACTCTTTCTACAGCATGAAATAAAGTACTCATTTTATTAAAATAAAAGAAAATACTTTTTTCTACATCATGTAAATAAAATAATCATTTTGTTGAAATGATTTTTTTTACATCTTGAAAAAAACTTTTTTTGTTGAAATAAAAAAAAAATTCTACATGAAAAGAATTTTTTTTTATTAAAACGAAAAAAAATACTTTTTTATATCATAAAAAAATACTCATTTGTTGAATGAAAAAAAAATCTATCTATAACATGAAAAGAAAGTATTATTAATAATATTTTTATTTAGG